GTTTAGGTTCATCTTTGCAAACCAAAGCCATGTCACCTGGTTCTTTTTAGAGAAAATCGTTCCAAACAAGCCACACGTGTTCACATTTTTAAATTTTACTGTCATAAACTTTAACATTTAACATGCTGAGGCCTGCAGCATCTGAGACAAAGTTCTTGTATTTTTTATTTATTTGTTTTCACAGCCTGACTTTTATGTGAATTTGCTGGGACATCTTCACTTGGGCAATTGTGGCAATGTGTTAACAAACACCTGAATGCTTCAGGCAGCAAACTGCCAAACGTTGCTGCTTTTATAGAGGTGCGCAAACTTGCTGATGATCAAAGTGCAATTCATCATCAGCACCTGGCTGCTGCTTAGCTTATTTCCTGTGGAAGCAGTAAGGGAGTGCTTAACCATAGGACTGCACAGAGTCGTGTGAAAAGCTCTGTAAACAGCCTGTGTATATGATTATATAACATCTATAGGTAAGAGACAGCAGAAACTTTCTGGTTTCCACTTTTATCTTAAAATTTGAGTGGCATTGACTAATGGCCTTTGAGGAGGCTTTGGTTGCATGTCTGTGTGGAGAGCAAATGAGAAATGCTAGATGCCAAATTTCATCTGATAACTATTGGACATTTTCTGACCCTGATTCATTTTCATTATCCTTCTATTTTACTTTTAAAAAGAAACGATGGAGAGAAAATTGGCAACACCACAAGTCCCCAAAATTGACAGTTTCATCCAAAGGCTAAGCCAGTACACTGGTCATTGGGTGTCCCGATTGCTTCTCTTCTCTTTGAACACTGCAGCTTTTAGCTGTGGTTTCAGACCACATGAATTTGCCATTTGTTTCTTTGTCCGTTTCAGCAGTAGCCACTTGCACACATATCATATTAAATATATGTGAGAACTTGCACATTTAAATAATCTTTTTGCCTTCCAGGAGCACTCATGACCTGGTGGCAATGGATGGCTGGTTATACGCAGTGGGAGGCAATGATGGCAGCTCCAGTCTCAACTCCATTGAAAAGTACAACCCACGCAGCAATAAATGGGTCGCAGCCTCCTGCATGTTCACACGGCGCAGCAGCGTGGGTGTGGCTGTGCTGGAGCTCCTGAACTTCCCGCCACCTTCCTCGCCCACCCTCTCGGTTTCTTCCACCAGCCTTTGACACGGGGTCATTGTTTGGCTGACCTCAGCCTCTGCTGCTACAGCCCAGACTGGCTCTGGGAAGAGACGCAACTGCTCTGTTTGAAACAAAGAAGATGAGGAGGAAGAGCGCTGGTGGTTGGACAGGTAAATGTGTGGAGGCGAGGGGAACAGATGGGCTGAGGCCTCGGTGTAGTGTGCTTCAGAATTAGTGGCAGTTTTGGTGAAGATTAGTGCACCAGAATTAAAAAACAAACAAACATGCTGGTAATGGATTTAAAGATCTATGTTGTTTTCACTGATTATAGGAAACTGTACAGTATTTCACAAGTAAATTTTTTATTATATCAACAAAAAGTCCTTTAAAAAAAATCAACAAAACTTTCAGTTTTGTGCATTTGCAGCTTCAGATGCATTCTTAGCCTCATTGATTATATTAATTTGAGGTTGAATGAACAAAAACTGGGCTTACTGCATTGCATGTTCTAAATTTCCTCTAACAATCTGGCTGTTTTCAATATTCCCCTTAATTCTGGACTACACTATATCTGGCCTTAGTACCTCCACTGTATAGCCATAAAGATACCGGCTCCCTCCCATATGTGAACATTGACCAATCGTTCTTCAAAGCCCCACTTTTAAAAATAAATAAATAAATAAAAATAAAAAAAATTTCCACCGCTCTGGTGTTTGACACACCTAAAAACACGGTGGTCCCTTAATTCTGTCGTGTGTGATGTAAACGTATTTGGTTTGATGTTGCGGTCTCGCTGCAAGGTTTTTCTTTCACACCCAGAGGTTTTGCAATAATGTATTTAAAAAAACAAAAGAGAGAGAGAGAAAAGCTGAATGATTTATTTTGGAATGTAGATTTTTACTGGTTGTACCATGCATGTTTATGTACTGGCACCAACAAGATAGGGGGGAAAAATATATATATATTGTAGTGCTGCTTTGCCACACTAGGTGGCAGTAACAGGCAATGTTGTAAACCCTCACTGCAAGAGCGCATGGACACCAACAGCATAGAAAAGCTAGGCCCTCAAAACTGTAAATGAGTTTGGATCAATTTTCTTTTTTTCTTTTTTTAAAGATATAAAACAGAGATGATAAAGTATATGTATTTATAAAAATGTATAAATGCTAATATATATTCTGTTTTAAATATGCTTAGGGAGGAAAGGAGATCCGACCTATGCCTACTTCAGAGTGTTTTTAATATATTTATTTAGATGTGTGATGTGCATATCATCAGTGGATATGACAAAGAATGTCTAAAGCATGAGAGGGGTAGAGTTTCTCCTGTTGCATCTCGAAATGCGGCCTTCGTTTTGCATTTCTAAATATTTCTTCACTGCCATAAGCATGACCGCATTTGACACTGCATTTGTGACAGAGGCTTTAATCGCTCGCAAACCTGCTGACCACTCAATGAAAGAAATCTATACTGTTTTTAATCCTGCTTCTTGATCAGTTTTTTCCAAAAATGTGGAAGTGGATATCATCCTGGAATTCAGTCAAAGCAGAAAGGTCTAGTTTAGCTTCAGTATGCCAACACTTGACACTAATCAGTAATGTTGTTGACACTTGGTGCTGTCATATTCCCTTTTTTATTACCTCATCATATAACAGCCGTATGATTAACCACAAATATAATGTCACTGAACCTGTTGTGGGTGATTTGGGAATCTCACCTGCATGTCTAAAGTAAATGGACCTGGGTTCAGTTCACGTGTCGTGCAGTGTTAACCTTTCCAAACTTCTGAGAAGTTGCCTTTTTTCCTTATTTTGAAGGATTTTTGTTGAACCTTTTTCTGTTTATCTAAAACAACCTTGCGTTTTAATTTCTGTGTAAGTGCGGATGCTCGTAGAGTTGGAGTCGTGATGGCCTTATAGAGAAGCTGTGATGAAGTCGATACAAGGCAGGGACAGACTTTAAAGACAAAAGGTGCACAAAACCACACAAGACTTTAGCCTCCATTCTGTGGATCCAAATGTACATAGAAAGATTGCTTAAGATATCTTACATCTGTTTGTGCAATTTTAATGTGACTGTAGCTTCTTTTTTTTTTTTAAAAAAGTTTGTGTTAAATGTGGTGATATTTATTTATGGTATGTTTCTTATTTATGATGGACTTTAAAATGTTGGATTTTGCACTGTTGCCAAATGGAGCAATACTATACACTTTAAAAAATGAATAAACATGTTTTCAAAGGTGAAAATTGTCCTGGTGATTTCGAACACACACAGAAACAACTGGTTGCATCCAAAGTGACGTACAAAATGAAAAGTTGTAACTGAAGAGCAAAGGTTTACCCGTCCATGTATAAATGGTCCCTATAGTTGTGTCCATAAATTATTGGATAGTTCACCACCGTGCATTTTTAATTAAACATGTGACTGACATGCAGACTCTCAGCTTTAATTCAAGGGGTTTAAAGCTTAAAGGCCTGGCAGACCATCTGCATGTGGTGATGTCCATGGGTCCTAGACTTCAGGCTTTCAGTGACCGCAAAGCATTATTAAACAGGAGTATTTAAAAACTATCCTTATATTTAAATAATAAATATTTAATTATGTTAAAATTATGTTAGTTTGTCAAAAAATGTCTGTAATTCCTAAACAGGTAATCATATTTGATACGGGAGTTTTTGAGAGTTCTACATCATCAAAAATAAAATAAGGCAGCAAATATGATTCATATTAAAACTTGTTTATACAGCTCGTGTACTGCACTTCATTTCAAAAGTCCACTGTGGTGGTGTGCAGAAGCAGAAAGGCAAAAACTGTCTTTGTCCAGGAAATTGTGAAACCTAATTGCATGCACATATTTATTCTTTAGCAACGGTGTACTCGATACCATCACATGTAAACAATGCAGCTCTCCATTTATCAAAGACAAACAACAACAAAAAAAGGCATGACGTTTATGGCGCTGGGAGCACTGTGACACTCGGAAAAGTAGGTGTATGTTGTTTCCTAATAAAAACTGACTGACACACACACACACACACAGTAACAGTTGTGTTTCTAACAGTTTGTTGCTAGGATCACTACACAGTTCTCTGGTCCATTCCCAACATACTGCTCTTTCACAGTGATCTACGTGGACAGCTGAACACTCTCACTTTACCCGTCTTGACCTCAGTCACATGGCATTAACACCTGTGACTGCGTCTGCACACACACGGCCCCATAAACTCGTACTCTTCCAAAACACATTCAGAATAAGATGTAAAACGCCTACGGCTGTCTTATAACCACAGTAGGATGAGATGGAGATCTCTGTGCATGCTTGATGATATATAACATAACCTCGTGTATGTTCACTATAATAACCTTTTTCTGAAAATAACAAAGTCTACCTATCAGAAATGACAAAAAGGTCTTAGACTAATTTAAGCACATTAATAAATTTGAAAATGCAGGTTTATTGTAGGTGATGCTGCAGGCTGCTTTTTGTTACTGATGACTGTTAAATAGATACATTTGTAACTGTACATACTGGTACTGATATTAAAAGGACATTTCACCTCAATCAAACACCTGAACTTTAGAAAGGTGGCTTTAAAAATATGTTGGGGTTTTTTTGTTCCTGTCTTTGCAAAGAACAGTATCAAATCATACTGATTATATATTATGGGTTGGTCTTTTGTTTTTTAAAATAAAACCATTCTTATTCTTTGGACAGTACGCATTAGCCAGGTAGCCAAGAAAATCTGAATTGTGGGGTACTGCTTTCCAAACCAGGGTGCACTTCTGAGGAAGTACATATGAAGATGAGTATGGAAGGAGACATGAGAAGCATGACCTGGAAAGTTTGTTGTCAGTCTAAACTCAGTCATATCTGAACACACAATGCGTTTTTTATTCAGTGCAATGACTGATCTCTAATATATAAATTTCCACAAAGAAACCTAAAAACCATCAGAGATGGGCGTTGCTCGTTTTAAGTCTACAACCTGCTTCATGTTTGTCTTTAATTTCAACATGATCTGCTGATGGCTGCCACCTTCTTTCTAATAGAGACAATTTACCAAGAAATAAACAAGCACAAGCTAAAAAATGTGGGCCCAGATTGTAACACACATGCTCACTGCGTGGCACCATCATGTAAATCCTCGAATTAAACTGAATGAAGCCAGAATTAAACTGCTTATACGCAACATTGCTAATACTGGTGGGTATTGTTGGGGGGGTTGCAAACCTCAGCTATACTGTTAACATTATTCAGTAATGTTGAGCTTAACTTGTAGTTCAGAAGTCAACGGTAGATGGAAAGTTCTGTCAGCTCTGCTGCTATCAGGACGCTAACGACTTTACAGTCTGTCTGGTCGAATGTGCTCACTCTGGAAGAGCTGCTACAGCTGATCTGGGGGGCCGTCTGTCCTCCCAGCATTCCTACCACTGCAGCATCTCCTTTTCCCCTCGTGTCAGCCTCCGCACAGCCTTTAACAAGCCACAGAGATGCTGTCACCTTCTCTGAAAGGGCTGCAGTGTCAACTTGGATTACTGCACCTACTGTGAAGGGGCTGATACACTTTTTGACTCTTTCAGCCGCATCAAAGACTGACTTATAGCCCATGGCAATCCAAAGAAATGATGTGGAAGGTCTTAAATCCTTAAATCCAAGAACAAATTGTGTGCTCAGTTGGAGACATAAAGTTCACTGTAAAAACTCTTCTTTTCTTTCAGCACTGAGAGTAAGGCCGTTTGAGTTAGCTAGCATTTAACTGCTACCTAAATAATCATTTAAGCTGGAGAACTAAACCATAGAACAAATCTATAAGGCTTTCTGTTATCTGGAAGTCACTTTTATATATATATATATTTATTTATTTATTTATTTATTTAAAATCATATGAAATCAAAAACATGATCCTTCAATGTAATCAGTTTTTTTTTTTTTTTTTTTTAAATCACTTTTATTAGATTCAAATGCTGATTGTTCATGGGAAAAATTCTGTTTGAGTAACTGGTGAGTTACTGGAATTACATCTTTTGTGTGTGTTTTAACTTAAAAAACCACAAAAAGTTCTTAAATTAAGCAAGTGAGTAAAATCTGAGAAATTGACCATAACAAACTGCTACTTTTGCTTTGGAGCTAGTTGCTAGCTGATTTTTTATTAAGCTTTTAAAGTCAAGTGCTGTCATGTGAAGCTGCCATATATCACAATTCAAACAACATGACACAAATCAGAGTACCAACTAATAATATTTACAGTATTTTTTACGATAAATCAAAGTCAAACCTCAGCTATAAAAAAGATGTCAGATAGCAAAACAGGAAAATTATTGTGTGCGAAGCCCCAAAAGCAAAAGTAATGAAGACGTAGATTTTAACGATTTGAAAGAGAAATTTGCTTTTAGATTCTCATTATTATGATTATATGATTATACACTCACTGGCCACTTCTTTAGGTACACGCACCAGTACTGGGACCCCTGTTTTCCTCAGAAACGCCTTAATGATCCCAATTATTGGGTGGATTCAACAAGGTGCTGGAAACATTCCTCACTCACATTTTGGTCCATATTGACGCGATAGCTTCACACGGGTGCTGCAGATTTATCGGTTGCACATGCGTGATGACAATCTCTTGTTCCACTACATCCCAAAGGTGCTCTACTGGATTAAGATCTGGTAACTGTGGAGGTCATCTGAGCACAGTGAACAAATCGTCCTGTTCAACGAACCAGTTTGAGATGATTGGAGATTTGTTACATGGTCCTGTTGACACGAGGCAGGATGGATTCTTTTATTTAATTTTCATTGTCATTTTTTGTTGTCATGTTTTTTGTTGTCATGTGTTGTCATGTGTTTCCATGTGCCTACAGGAAAACCTGATTTACAGACAAGCTTTCAAGAAATCATCCACGTAAACAATATAAAAAATAATAAAAACAACCCAAAATCATAAGAGATAATCCTCCATAATCATTTTACTGCCCATTTGTGGAGAACTGTGCCAATAGCCTCAGTTTCCTGTTCTTATCTGACAGCAGCAGCCGGAGTGGTCTTCCTGCGGCTGTATGTTTCTTGTGCATTCAGAGGTGCTCTTCTGCAAACCTTGGTTGTAAGGTGTGGTTATTTATTTACTGTTACATTCTAATCAGCTGGTAAAAATCTGGGGATTCCCCTCTCAATGCTCACAAGGAAAGAGTCTGTTTTTCTAGGATATTTTCGTTAATTTCTTTTAGTATCATTCTCTGCAAATCCTAGTGGTGGTTGTGTGGGATTTTCCCCACACAACCACCACTAGGATCAGTAGTTTCTGAAAAGCCTATTGTGCATTCAAATAAAAAAATAAAATAACATAAAAATACTAAAATTTGTGAGTTAAGTGCTTTGGTAGATATGACACAGATGATGGGATAATGATACTATAGCAGTTTCACTCAGATTTCTTTCCCCACTTCATTTTTCGCAGTTATCAGAGCCAACAGTTCCAAGGAAATGATACAACCCGTCTAACACGCTGGCACAATACGTCCCTTTGACTCAATTGTTTTCCAGAGAAGTGAAAGTATGTAAATCAGAAAAGATCACATCAAAAGGTGTTGTCTGGTTCCCATACTGGATGTAATTAGGTCTGTGTGCACATTTTAAAGTGCAGAGTGAAAGCACTCTTCTGTTTTATCACCACACTTTTATAACCCAGTCACAAATGAATGTGGAGTGTGTGACTTAAAGACAGGAACCTACTGAAGTAAGACACTATTAATCTGACTATGACAGATCTTCCCTTCAAAGGAGGCCACGGTCTAATTAAGATTCCTTGACGGTCGCCTTGTGTGAGAACTTTGGCACGTCTCATTCTCTGTTGGACACCTGATGTTGGGGGCCTCACATCCAGGCTCCGTTTTAGTGGCCTGAGGTGTGACTTTAGCACTGCTGCTCTCACCCGCTGAGCCTGGGTAAACACCAACAAGTGACTTCTGTGGGAGAAACACAGTTCAACCTACCACCGATGGAGGTAGCGTGATATACAGTGTCGTGAAAAAGTATTTGCTCCCTTCCTGAGTTTTATTTTGGCATATTTGTCACACGTATATGTTTCAGGTTATTGAACAAATTTTAATATTAAAAATCAAAAACCCAAGTAAATGCAAAATGCATATTTAAAATGATGACTTCATTCATTTGAAATTCATATGTAAAAAAGTTATTTCCCCCTAAAACCTAATAACAGGTTGTGCCAAACTTGGCAGCAAGAACTAC